GTGCCATTCCCTTCAGCACCAAACCAAGGAGTGGGAGGGACTGTAGGATGGAATTGCTCTTTCCTAGAAGGCACCATCTGAAACTCCCTGAGTCTGGAGAGAGGTATTTATGCATCATTAGAGCTGCTCAGTAGCTGCTTCAAGTGCATCAACTTCCCACTTAAAAGTGCTGAGGGGTCTTTATCTTGCTGCTCATCATCCCTTTCCAAAGATGATGATCTGGGCGTCTGTAGCTCAAAACCTGCTATCACATCTCCTCCTCATTTCCAGTTCCTGAGCACAGATGGACCTTTTCTTCCTCTATCCTGGCAAGCTGCACGTGGCTGGAACGTGACCTTGAGGGATGTCCTGTGTTTGATCATGGAAGTTTGAAGTGGTTTAGTGCAAGGATGAAGTCTTATCCTTGTGGAATATTGACTATAGAAGTTTGTGTGCTTCAAGTGTGTAACAATTTAGTTCCTTCACATGTTCTGCACAAAGTCATTTTGCCCCGTAGCTGAACTTTGGCACTGGTGACAGTCCCTCTCGAGCTGACCTGGCCATCACCCAGGGCTCAGCCTGTTGTCCCTGGAACCTGCAGATCTCCACAGTGCTGTCCCGGGGGAAGCCTGGTCAGTACAAAACCCACAGCTAACCACACTGAGGCTATGGTGGCTGTGCAGTCACTTCAGAGCATCACTTATCAAGTTAGATGCTGAATGTTTTCCTGCCAACAGCTGTTCCAAAATAGCTCAGTGTGTTTCTGCCTGATTTCCTGGGCAGCAGCGGTTAGCACGAAAGCTCCGTGTGTTTACTTTGCTGAAGGAGCTGTGTGCTGGGAGGGACAATCCAAACCTCTTTGTGGGTGAGAGAAGCCTGAAGTCACCTCTCGTAGGTGACTGGAACTGCTGTGCTGGGAGTCAGTGTGCAGCCCCAGGGCTGAGGGGACATTCTCTCCAGGATATTAAGGCATGAAACCGAATCATCCAACAGAAGCTGCTTCTTGGAGCGCGTGGAAAGCACTCTGGTCCCAGCAGACACTGCCCCGAGGTGTGCAGGGGAGCTGGTGGTGGAAGGGGTTTGTTCTGTGCAGTAATTCAGTGCCTACACATCCCTGTTGTTTGGCATTCCTAAGGCCTCGGTTGTGTAATTGATTTCAAGGTCACTTGCTGGAAAAGGCTGCTGAAACCCTTCCAGGAGGAACAGCAGTAGTTGTTAGCGCAGCTCCTGCCTGCTGGCCGAGTTCTGGGGTCCTGTGGGAAGCAGCACTGGCACTGCTGACAAACTGGAGGGGCAGGAACACACCTACACTGGCAACCTCTGCAGCACCTTGGACCTGGGAAGGTGCAGGACTCGGAGACCTCTGCTCCAGAGGGGAAGGGGCTAATCAGGTGAACTAGGAGAGCTGTAGAGGAGGGTGATTTCCCCTTTTCTCTGGGGTTGTGAGGCTTTAGAATGTCACTTTCTGGTTTGGCTCTTGTGGGTTTGGATATTTTTTTCTTATTTGGCAGCTGGCTGACCCTCGGGACAGTCTCTTCTCACAGATGTGAGCTCTGTGCTGCCTCTTGGTGTTTGGCCCCCAGCTCAGGACACTCCTAGCATAGCTTCTCTGGTGTCTCTCAGGCTCTGCTCACCTGCTGACGTTTATCTCTCACAGTGCTGTTTGACCAGTGCAGGTAAAACCACTCTGACACATTTCCCAGGAGATCACAGGGCAAAACCTTGGCCAGAGCACTCCACTGCCCTCACAGTCAGCCACAGGGCTCTTAACTAATTGTTACTTGGTGTGATTAATCCTTTGTCAGCTTCAGTGGCACTAAGGGGCCTTGGTTGGGATGCAGAGACCACTGTAAGCAGTTGGAAATATCCTTGTCCTAGTTTGGGTTCCCTTTCAACATGAGGGAAGATCTGGCACTACTGAAACCTTGAGGTCTTTGACTTTCCTGTGTGTTTTTACTGGTTTGAGCTGGAAATTATGCTTCACTTTTCATTTAGTTTCTTCTTTGTAGAATTTTTTTCATTCCAAGCTGCATGTAAACAATTATTTTTCCTTACATTTATATGCACCCAAAATAATTGGTAATAGTTCTAAGCAAAATATGTTGAAGAATTCAAACAGATCCCAAATCCTTCTGTCTTCACTCTTGTGAAATTTGATGTGTGATTTCAGTCTCAGCACTGCAGAGACTTCAATGGCACTTTGACCTGTTGGTCACAGTCCAGTACAACAAAACCACTGATTCTTGCTAAAACTTTGGGGTAGGAAATCTAAGGAAAGCCAGTTTGGTTTTGGGAGGACACTGGTGGGCCCGAGCCACCACCTCCTGTGGGTAGTTTGGCTGTGAAGAGAGCATGTTCACCTGAGCCTTTGTGGAAATAGCTGTTGCAGAGTGGGTTGTTGGGTGGTTTGTAGGTGAACGAGGCTCTGGCTTGGTGAGAGAGCTCCTGCAGCTCTGCACCTCCGGGGCCTTCTTCACTCTGGCTGGTGTGAGGTGAGCACCGATTCCCCGAGGGGAGCCCAGGCCAGGGCTGGCCAGGGGTTTGCAGGGGCTGCACAAGGGTGAGCTGGCTGTGCTGTCAGTGTTAACCCCAGGGGGGTTTAGAGGGAGGGAGGGAGTGGCCTCTCGGAGCTAGTCATTTTATGGCTGTATTGGATCCCGTTGAAGACTTGGGTCATCGAGGCAGTGGCCATGAGTGCATCCCCACACTGCTGCTGTAGCACAGCAGTGGCACAGTGCTGCTGGTGCTCCTCCTGGGAAGGGAGAGACAGACCCTTGTTCCCAGATACTAGTGGGCACAGAGTTCCTGTGGCAAGGAGCTGAAAGAGCAAGTGCAGGCAGCCAAGGAGTTAAAACAAGCTAACACTAAGTGCTCTGTGCCTTTCCTTTGCCTGGGGTGCTGTGCTGTTCACCCTGGACTCTGAGGAGAAATAACAGCCAGTCTGGCAGTGGCTTGGAGAAATGAGGTGTTTCTGCCCAGCTTCCCTCAGCCTCTGTGGTGGAGCAGAACTGGCCTGTTGTGTGCAGACACTGTTGGCTGGGAGGGTGCTGAGTGCTGTGCTCTCTCCTGCTCTCCTCCAGTTTGATGTCTGCAGGCTGAGGGGTCCCCAGTGCCCCAGGAGCAGCTCTGCAGTGCCTGCTGCAGCGTGGGGCTCCAGCTGTCCTTCATGTGATCCCAGGCATCTTCCCTGCTGTATTTTTAGAGTTGTTGTGCAAAGGAGATTAGCAAAGGACTTAATATCCATGTGGATATGGATTCTTTCTCAAATATGGAAATGTTCCCCCTGTTTAGGTGATGGGTATCCCAGTTATATCACCAGGGCTGTGCGTGGACACGTGCCCCTCTGCCCTGGCCTTCCTCCCTTCTCCAGATGCTGTTGGGCAGCCTGGCAAAGTGGCTGCACTCTGCTAGTCCTCGTCCTGTCTTGGTTTTGCTGGGTTAGTGACAGTCTGTTAGGGAGCCATGTGGCCCTTGAGGAGGGCAGGGTAGCTGGAAGTGTCCTGCAGTGATGCCTGGGGTACATCCATGAGTTCCCATCAGAACACAGTAACCTTCCTAAAGCAGCAAGTGTGCTGGTGTTGGCTGGAGCCAGGTGGATCCGTGGTGGAAACAGGTACCAAGGGATGGCCTGTACTATCTCAGCTGGTTTTTCTGTGATGAGGAGTGAAAAGCATAGGTAGGGGAATATGGGAAAATTTCTGCAAGAGAAGTGGCACAGCAGGCAGTGGCTGGGAGCAGGGTTTAAGGGTCTGTGCCTTTGTTTGTGGCCAGAGCTCCAGCTGGCAGCCTGCTCACGCCTCCCTCCGATAGCAGAGCCACACAAGGGGCTGAAATAGCTTCTTTCCCCTTCGGAGGCCTAGGAGCAGGAGATATGGAATGTGTCCTTAAGTGGCTGAGCTATTTCAGGCCAGGGTGCAGGGGCACCCAGCCTGGCAGCACTTGTGGGGAGCTCAGCACCCTGGGCATGCTGGCAGCCCAGCTCGGCTGTCAGCAGCGCTGGCACATCCTGCCATCCACATCTCAGGAGGAGTCACCGTCTGGTTGTGTCTTCTGGAAAACAGGGAGATGGCAGCAGTGCCAAGAGGTTAGGGTTGGCTGTGGAATGATTGCAAAACAGTCTCATGAGCAAAATGTGGAGCTCTGAGAGTGCAGTGAACAGAGAGCACAGGTCGTCCCGGCACAGCTGCCCTGCAGCTCTGGGACTGCAGCTCACGCAGCAATCACACAGTGCCAGCAGCATCACTGCATGCAGGAGGCTCTGCTGAAACCCGAGGGAAACATTCCATCCTGCAAACATCTTGGAATGCAATAAGAGATGGGGGAGTTAGGGGAGGAGGAGCAATGGTAGGTACTGTTTATGCAAGTGAATTTTGTTCGCTGCAAGTGCCATGGAAAGCTGGATTTCTGCTAGAGCTGAGGCAGAAGCTTTGGGAAAGGACTTTTCAGAGGGATGTGCTAATTAAAACAAGGAAGATTTCATAACCAGGACAGAATTGGTTCAGAAAGGGATAAAGCAAGGCAGAGTGAGGAGCCAGTAATTGGTGGTCTCACCCGTGATAGTTTAGAGCAACTAGAACTGTCTGACACATAACATTTTAAGGCATAGGAGTATTACATACTTTTGCTAGGTTCTTCCTACAGATGATAGTGACCTAGAGATGATACAGTGCAAGTCTTTAGGCAGCAGAAATGAGCAGAGTTGTGCTTGCCTTTGTTAGGCAAGCACTGTTAGGCTCCTGATGTCAAAGTCCCTTCCCAGTGCTCTTGATCAACAGGAGGTGGTTTCCTCTTCCTGTGTGAAAGACAAGTTATGTTAGGACATGCTTAGCTGGTGACAGACATGCTGCTGGCTCTGCTCATAGCTGTTCTGCTGCCACTTGGCCCCTGAGAAGAGTGGAGCCAACCCAGGGGCTGAAGGGCCTCTGCTTTACGGGACTGTGACTCTAAGGGAATGAATCAGTTCAGGAAGAGTTAAAGCTGATCTAGCCAGAAGCTGAAACTGGCTTTGTTTTCACTTCCAGGCGTATGAGAAGCGCTTTCCTACATGCCCAGAGATCCCAGTGTTCCTGGGGAGTGAAATCCTGCATGAATCCAGGAGTGAGGATGGGGCTATACACGTCATTGAGCGCAGCTGCAAGCTGAACGTGGATGCTCCCAGGCTGCTGAAGAAGGCAGGTGGAACCCTGGGGACGGAGGCCTGGCTTTGGTGGCTGGCTCAGATGAAGGCTCCTAAAGTTACTCTTTCTCTCTCTTTTTTTTTCTCCCCTTCCTGTTGGTACTTCACCCTCTGCAGATTGCTGGGGTGGAGTATGTCTTCTTCATCCAGAAGAACACCGTGAACTGGAAGGAGCGAACTCTGCGCATTGAGGCTCACAATGAGACCTTCGCAAACCGTGTCGTGGTCCATGAGACATGCAGCTACTCCGTGAGTGCTTTGCTGTCTGTCTCTGAGGGAGGTGCTGGGTCCTGCACACAGACAGGCTGGAGGGGCTTGGGTAGATCAGGCTCTTCTGAAACTCTGGACTGCAGTGTCCTGTGATGAGACACCCTTGGACAGGAAAGGCTGTTGGGGCCTGGGCCGTGGGAGTGTTCTAGTGCTTTGGAGAGGGACTTGGGACAAGGGATGGAGGGACAGGACACAGGGAATGGCTTCCCACTGCCAGAGGGCAGGGACAGATGGGATGTTGGGGAGGAACTCTTGGCTGTGAGGGTGGTGAGGCACTGGCACAGGTTGACAGAGAAGCTGTGGCTGCTCCATCCCTGGGAGTGTTCCAGGACTGGTTGGATGAGGCTTAGAGCAATTTGAGCTGGTGGGAGGTGTCCCTGCCCATGGCAGGGGGTGGAATGAGATGAGCTTTGAGGTCCTTTCAACCCAAACCATTTCAGGATTCTATGGTTTCATAAGGCTTGAGGAACCTTTTTAGGCTGACTGTGATTCTCTGATTGGAATGAGAGTAGCAAACACAGTTGGTGCTGCAGAGCTGCTGGCATTCCCTGAGTTTCTTTTTGGTTGAAAAGCAAGTTAACAGAAGCATCCAGAGCTTGGGCATGTACACAAATCTTGATATTTTTTATGGTGAGGGCGAGAGGGAGGTCTAGCAGTTAAATAAATGCAAGTTTTAGCACCTTGCCGTGATCTTCATGCTCTAAAGATCTGGAGAGAGGACTCGAGCCTTCTTTGTGCTTGGGATGTCTCACTTTGGCTGTGCCTTTGGCACAGTGTGTGTCTCACTGTAGCTGTGCTTAGGGCTCTCATCATGCAATAGCCTCAGCTGTTTCTGGAGGCAATCAGATACTGCTTTTTGTTCCTTAAACAAAAGGCCAGATCCTGTTACTTACCTGCCCTTTGGCAACTGGACAACAGCTCAGCTTCTTGGGTGTGAGCAGGCTGGAAGGAGCTTCGAGCAAGAGGAGGAGTTGCAAAGCTGTTGTTTGGCTGGTGAGGCTGTTCCTGAGCCAGAGGTCACTTAATGGCTATGTGAGGCTGCCTAAAAACTGCAGCAAATCAAAGTTCCATCATCATCAAAGGTGCTGAGAGCTCTAAGACTGTCCCAGGTCAGCTCTGGGCTCACTCAGGCACTGTTCACTTGCTGATTTTGGCTGTGCTGCCTCTGACTTGTGTCCTTGGGCAGGAAATGTCAGCATCTGGGCCACGAGGGGAGAGCTCTTCCTGGAGCAGGGTGGGAGCTGCTGGCTGCATCCTCAAGATGGTTCCCTGCTCTATTTTTACCAGTTCCCTTTTCCCTGCCAGAGTGCACAGGAAGAAGTTTATTCTCATCTTTCCTTTTCTGCAGTGTTCTCAGGGGCAACTTGGAGAAACATGATCCTCCTCTCAGAATTATTTAATATCTCCCTGGGGGAATTTGTGTCCTTTCTTGGATCTTTGTGTGGCTGGAATTGGGTTTCTTTCACGTTGGTTTGTGAACAGCAGCACTTGTAGAGAGAAGGCAGAGCCCTCTGAGGAAAGGGTTAAGTTTAAAAGAGGAAAAGCTATATAGGTTTTTTCCATATATAGAGCAAGTGAAGGGAAATGGCTGGAGAGGAAAGGTGTGTGCTGAAGAGGCAGTGGGACAACTCCCTGCCATGCCAGGTCTCCTGTGCCCGGGGGAAGGCTGCCATTAGTGGCTGAGTGTCCCATCCAAAACTAGAAAAACCCTGTTTTGCAGTTTTCCTCTTGGCAGGTGTAGGAGCTTTAATTGCATGCTCCACCATGCCATGCCTTTCTTTCCATAGGGAGATCTGCTTTCCAGTGGGCAGTTTCACTGCTATTTTAGTGCAGCTTTTGCTGCTGCTATTACCTTTCAGTTCTGCTGGGGCAGAGGTGGTTTTAACCCTGACTTCCTCGTGCGTGTGCAGAATGTTGGGTTCACAGACACCCACGTGTCAGTTCGTGCTGTGGTTCTGTTCCTCTGGGAGAGCTCACCAGGCTGTCCAACATGGGCCTGTTGGAGGTTGAACAGAGCCAGTGTGGTGCCAGGGGCAAGGGCCCTGCCCCTCCCTGAGCCACCTGTCCCACCCAACCTGTGTGTCCCTTTGGGTGCAGGTTCACCCTGAGAACGAGGACTGGACGTGCTTTGAGCAATCAGCATCGCTCGACATCAAGTCCTTTTTTGGCTTTGAAAGCACAGTGGAAAAAATTGCCATGAAGCAATACACATCCAACATCAAACGGGTAAGATGGGCCATAACCCCCCCAAATCCAACACCTGCTCTGTGTGTCCCTCTAGTTTTTTGTCTGTGTGTAGCCCCAGGGCAGTTCGACTCCCTTGCTCGTGGCTCTGACATCCCTCAGTTGGGCAAAGGCAGAAAAAGGCAGTGTGCAAGGAGCAAAAACAATCTGCTGGCTAGAATGTGCGTGCAGGGCTGGAGCAGGCTGTGCCAGAGGAGGGTGGCAGTGGATGCTGTGGGTGCCAGGCTCCTCAGACACTGAGGACACTGTTCTCGTGCAGGAAGTGAAGGTTCTGGGTGCAAATCAGCACTGCCTCCCCAGCAGCTTGGGCAGAGGCTCTTCCTTTCAGTGGGCTGTTCCCCTGGCTGCAGAGGAACTCAGCAGCTATGTGGTGGTTTGGGAGCAGGAGAACAGGATGGCAGTTCTGAGAGTAGCTGGAATTTGCCTGGCCAGTGTTGGAACTCACCATTCCTACGGGGCTTTCATGCTGAAGGTGCAAGAGTATCATGCAGTGGAAGGAGACAGTCTCCCTCCTTGTTCTCTCTGGCAGCATTAGCCACCTGTCCTGAGCCAGCCCCTGCACCTTGCTGGCCCCAGAACCCTCTTTCCTAATGGGCTTTCTCCCCTTCAGGGCAAGGAGGTGATTGAGCACTACCTGAAGGAGCTGATCTCCCAGGGCATCACGTCCATCCCGCGCTGGAGCCCGCCTGGGGTGGACAGGCAGGAGGAGCAACCCGTGGCCATAGGCCGTGGGGCTGGTGGCATCCTGCAGGATCCTCCTGGGAGCCCCACGGAGCAGCCTGGGAGCCCCTGCCCTGCTGCAGAGCCTGGGAGCCCTGACGGTACGCAGTGCCCGGCTGAGCGGCTGCTGGCACCACCAGTGCCTCCAGCAGCACTGACTAACGAGTGTGTTTTTACTGGCACCAGGCTTTTCTGCTGGACTGTGGGTGAGGAAGAGGGAAAGTTCTTTTTTTTCAAGAAAAACAAACACTGGAACTTTTTTTAGTCTAAATTTGAATAGCTAAGAAAAACTGCACAGGCAGTATGTGAGCTTAGAAAAAAATTGGGGTTGGACTGCTCTTTAAGGTATTTTAGACTTTGAACTGGAGAAGCTTAAAGATGTCTTGAGCACACTGGAATTTAAGTATAGTGAAATACTTTGTCTGTTTCAAAATTCATATTCTTGGGGACTGGTTTGGATGGGTTTTGCCCCTTTACCAGGCCAAGACAAACTTGCAGAATGTTGCCTAATGCATTTCTCCCACAAAATGCCTCACTCAGGTTTATCATTCCTTGTGGGGCAGGTGATATCTTCCAGACTAAATAAAATACTTCTCTGACAAAATGGAATAGGAGAGGAGCCTTTGGATTTAGAACTGGGGTA